TCTTTAAAAAATAATTTATTCCATTCAGAATGGGACGACTGAATAGGCGCGAATTTCATAAGTGCGAACTGACATAAGTGCGAGTTGGCATAAGTGCTAAATACTAATTTGTTCTTATGCTAATATTTGCAAATTTATTTGGCGCAGTTATGCCAATTCGCAGTTATGCCAATTTGCACTTATGCCAGTTTTTGTAACTGCTTCGCACTTATGCCAGTTCGCATTTATGTCAATTTGCACTTTTGCCAATGTCTGCAAATATGTTCGGCGCACTTATGCCGATTCGCACTTATGCCGATGTTTGCAAAATCTTTGGCGCACTTATGCCAATTCGTACATATACCATTTCGCACTTATGCCAGTTCGCACATATGCCAATTCGCGCTTATTTAGCCTCCCGTTCAGAATGCGTAAACAATTAAAAAACAGAGGTGGTAAACTTTATAAACAAATTACTTTCATTTTCAAAATCGTTTTATTTTTATATCAGTAATAAACTTTAATTGACATTTGGTTTCTTTTATTTTTATAAAAATAATTTAAAAATAACACAAGTTACTTTTAATTTATTGTTATATTAGATACTGGTTTTTGCATTTAATCTGGTTGATTTTTGCACAAATCTGGCGGTTTTTTTCATTTAATCTGGTGGTTTATTCATTTAATCTGGCGGTTTTTTGCATTTAATCTGACGGTTTTTTGCATTTAATCTGGTGGTTTTTTGCATTCAATCTGGTGGTTTTTCTTTATCATGATAAACAGTTTTGTTTTTATTGCTTTATTTAATTTAACTTCCTTATGTACATTTTAAGCCCGTTTTTTCTTAAATTTTTAAAAAATTCAAAATAAATAACGCACGAAGACAATGCTCAGAGATTAATGTTCAAGTAAGAAATTTGATCATTAATCTTGTAATTAACGAAGGGAAAAGTGTGAAAGAAGTATCGGAACTTGTGCATAAAAGTGAGACTTCAATACGACGCCTGGTTCATTGATATTTATCAACAGGTAATATCAATCCTGGAATTAGAGGTGGTTTTCGACAGTCAGGTTGTACTGAGGAAATAAGAAATAAGCTACACAAATTGATTGGAGATAACAAAAACTATAATTTACAGGAGTTAAAGGTAGAACTAGGACTTAATGTCAATATCTCTTCATTATTGCGATGGTTAAAAAAATTGAATTATACATACAAAATATTAAGATCCATTAGTGAAAGACGCAATACTGCAGAGGTAAAAGTAGAAAGAAAAACATTTGTTTCATGGTATTTAAACTTGACATTGCAATAACGCTACAGAAATATCATTTACATCGATGAAAGTCCGTTCAATCTTCATATGATAAGAAACCATGGATACAGTCTCCAAAGAACGACCCCAAATTAACGTGTGTTATCATCAATAGTCCGTAACATAATTATGATGTTAGCATTAAATTGTTTAAACATAGTCCACTGAGAAGCAATAATTGGCGTAGGGGTGACAGCAGAAATCTTTAAAGGGTTCTTAAATACGCCTAAAAGTATTTTGGGAGAAGGAGAAGAGTTTATTTTGGTGAATGACAACGTTAAGTTTCATTATTCATTATCAGATTTTTATGATATTTATCCCTATGAAATTCGTTTTTTACCCCGATACTCACCTTTTCTAAATCCTTGTGAAGAGACATTCTCGAAAATTAAAAATACTACAAGAAGACAAATAGCTCCGATCGGAAGTAACGATTTATTAGAACGAATGAGGAACGGTTGCGAGCACATTATTGAACATGATCTTTCAAACTTCGTGAGACACTGCGAATCTTTTCTCGTACAATGTGTTAATGGAGATGACATTAATAGAGAATAAAGTAATAATTTTTTTAAACTTGTTTTTTCGAACTTGTATGTTATATATATATATATATATATATATATATATATATATATATATATATATATATATATATATATATATATATATATATATATATATATATATATATATATATATATTGATATAAATTTTAAAACCGCCAGATTGAATGCAAAAAACCGCCAGATTTGTGCAAAAATCCACCAGATTAAATGAAAAAAACCGCCAGATTTGTGCAAAAATCCACCACATTAAATGCAAAAAACTACCAGATTAAATGCAAAAAACCGCCAGATTAAATGAAAAAACCGCCAGATTTGTGCAAAAATCCACCACATTAAATGCAAAAAACTACCAGGTTAAATGCAAAAAACCGCCAGATTAAATGAAAAAACCGCCAGATTTGTGCAAAAATCCACCAGATTAAATGTAGAAACCGATAATGGTTAAAAATTTGCAGCATATCCCTAGAATAATTCATTTTTTAATGTTTCAATAAAGATCATTTCAGTGATTTTTGTTGTTCTTTTATCCAATGATATTTGTTTTTTTTTTATTGTTGGTTACAAGCATACTACCGAGACGTCTTGAAATTGCTTTGATGTTTGCGGCTCGATGAACTTCCATCTCTTTTATACTTCCATGGTTGCATCAAGGACGTAAAATACCCGGTGGAAAATCGGCTAGCGAATAGCTAGCTATAATCGTTACGATAAAGACAGCGGTTTGGCCACGAGGATCGCTAACTTTTTTAAGTTAGCGAAAAGCTATCGATATTTGTAAAGATAAAGACAGCGATTTGGCTACTAGGACAGTTAGCTTAATAAGCTAAAGACCCACTGGCTATTGTAGCTACCGCCATATCGTGATAAAATTGCTATCTAATAAAAATTTTGGTATGTAGCTATCAACCAGTTATAAATTTGTAGATATTTTGTAGCTAGCAGCAAAGCTACGATATGAAGCTTGCGACACTTTGCTACAAAATCACAATGTTTAAAGTTCAATTATTCTCATAATTATAATAAACTCAACACTAAAAAATCGATTTTTTAAAGATGTTAAAGACATTAGGAAAAAATAAAATAAGAAAAAAAAAATCGCTTGAAAATAGCTATAAAGCTAGCTAGTCGCTAGCTCATTTTCCACCGGGTATTATATAAACCATATTTTCGCCCTCGGTCTTAAAAAAAATGTCAAAACTAAAAAATGTTTGAAATGCATTCATGCATTTTGTTTTTCTTTTTTTTTATATCGGTTTGTATTGGTTTAAATGGTTTGTAATATTTATATGATTTGTAATGATCGATTTGTATGATTTTTAATTCTTAAGCATTTAAGATCTTTTTCCTTAAAAAGTATTTTTATTAATATTAATTTTTTTGTATAGTTTTTTTAACAGTCTTTATAATTAGGATAATTTATATTTTTATATTTTAGCTGGTAATTTTTATGGGGTATTAATGAAATATTTTAAATTTGATTAAAGTTAAAAAAAATCTTTTTTTTACTTTAAAACCCAAATTTCCTAATAATGAACTAATTTTAATGGTTACTAAAATACGGTCAATTTACTATATATATATATATATATATATAAATTCATATAAATATCAATACAGAATTGAAACACAAGAAAAGCTATATATGCAACATCAGTAAAAGAAAAAAAGGTGTGAGGTCCCTGAAAATTGATTTTAAAAAGTATAGAAGTTTAGAACTTAAAAAATATTCTTATATGATTATTGTATAATACATGTATTGTATTATTCACAGACCCAAAAATGTCGTCGAAACGGGTAGGTGAATAATCACTTTATTTTAGTCACTTTTATTGGCGAGCATTACTTTTAAAAACTTCAAAAATTACGTTAAAGTGCTTTTTGTAATGCGAGAAATGAGTCAGTGATTTTTAGTATCAATTGTAACATTTATTAATTTCAAACACCATTTAAGAATTAATTAGGTCATATATTGCACACAAATGCGTCAATATAAAATCAATTTTTGATTGGTTAAATCTCTCAGCAAAAAAAATTCAAAGTTATTTCAAACTAATAAATATTTCTGAAACTTTCGTTTTAGCTTTAGTTACCAAGTAATCCGATAGCAAAAAGTTAAACTTAAATTAACACCTCGTAGTAATAATCAGAAATAACACATAATTATTCTTTTTATTTAAATAACAAAAATTAAAACATTAGCACTAAATGTCTAAAATCATTAACAGTTTTCAATAGCACGATTTGTTTTATAACTAGAAAAAAAGCGTATGCGGAGGAGTGTGCTTTAATAAATAACATCTCTAAAACAGTCTCTCTAAAATAAAACAAAACAAGGTAAGGCAACGATTTCTTAAATTTATAAGTTAAATGCGGTAGTGGCATAGTGGTAAAGCGCTTGCATTGTAAGCAAGATGTTAAGTCTTAAATGTTCCCTGGCATTGAAGAGATTATGCCTTTTTTGGAATCAAATACGCCAAAAAGACGATTCCTTTTTTTATTTTAAATAACTGGAAAACAAAGAAAACTAAACAAATGTATATGTATATGATATATTAGCTAGATCAATATAATATATTATACATTTGCTTCAAATTAAACAACCAGGAATTGAACAAGTCTTTTATTTAAACAATTATAAAAATTTGTAACAACTAACTTTAATAACTTAATAGTTTGAAAATCGTTTCAAATCTAAATTTGAAACTTATTTTAATGATTTTTATTTTTTTATTTATATTTTAAGTACCAAAACTTACTGTTTGTAAAACACTTTTATTTTAAACCAAAGTTTTGCTCTTATACACCAATTAAAAAGTGTGTATGACTGTATTATATTTCATACAGGGGTAGTGTGTGGACAAGTGTTGGATATCGGCGCCCCCTAGACCGTTTTTGAAACTCGTCTAATGGGGCAACTAAGCATCGTTCATTTTTTCAGAAAAAATGAACAATGATTGGTTGCTTGGCCCCTCTAGCTCCCCTTTTCGCATATACATCAACTTGAATTATATAGTAGTACATTATATACTTATTTATACTACTACATAGATCAAAATTAACTACTCTATACATACATCAAATAATAAGTAGAGTGTTGGCCAGTAATAACGATATCTCAAAAAGATCAAATAACAAAAAAAAAAAAAATTTTTTTTTTCACCTACTATACTCAAAAAAATAGTGTGCACAAATGCTAACCTAAATGAAATAACATATATATAAGACATCATTGCTAACAAAACAATGAAAAAATATGAAAAAGGGATTCAGTACACACAGGATTTAGCCAGGCAGTACTAAGAAATGAAAGAAACATACTATAGCAAAATTAGATTTCACTTTTTATCATTAATTTTTTTCCATTTTTTCTGGGTAATATGCATATCTCATTTTTTTTAAATTTACTCAAAAATGTCAAAAGTACTCAAAATAGACCTTATTCTAAATATATAAATTATCTTACATATATATACATTTACACACAAAAATAATATAGTTTTATTAGTGTTTTTTTTAGTTATTTTTTTTTTTTACTATGTTTTTTATACATATATACTGCCTGCCTAAACTCTGTAAATCAATCTAAGAACTATGACTTTATTAATCTGTGCTGTATATTTAAACGCACACACACACACACAAACAAAAGCCATCTGCTCCAATACAGGATCAGTTTAAAATGACAAACATGATGTATATTTATTCTTTGTCTGTTAATTATGACTGAAGAAAAACTTTAATTCACATACAAACAAAAAAGAAATTATATATTCACAAAAAACTTTAAAACATAAACTGTATAAAGTTTGGAATTACATTTTAAAAAAATATTAAATGTCATGAAGTTGAAATTTAGAATTTTTTGTATAATATGTTTTATTCTGGAAATTGATCAAATATATATTTAATGTTTTTCAAAATCCTTAAATCTGAACTTATAAATCTAAATAATCAAAAATAATAACTTAATTTCCCTGTTCATCGTCATCTTGGTTATCGTCAACTTCTGAGGTCCACAATGTAAGATTGTCTCTAAGCAATTGCATGATCAAGGTACTATCTTTATAAGAATCTTCGCTTAATGTATCTAATTCAGCTATCGCCTCATCAAATGATTTCTTAGCTAAGCCACAAGCTTTGGTTTGATCACCACGAATTTCATAGTAGAAAACAGAAAAGTTTAATGCTAAACCTAATCTTATAGGATTTGTTGCTTTCATATTATTACTGGCATTTTGGGCTTCAATATATGCTTTTTCAGAATCTAATACAACATCGTGTTTTTCTTTTTCATCACTAACTACTTCAGCAAGATACCGATAATAATCTCCTTTCATTTTCCAGTAAAATACTTTTGACTCTATTAATTTTTCTTCTTCTTCTTCAGTACCATTAAAACCAGTAAGAGCACTATCAACACTTGGAATCAAATAATCATTTAACAATTTTAAAACTTCTGAACAAACATCTTGTAATTCTTTCTCTACTTTGAGCCGATACTCTTTTGCCAATTCAGTCCTCTTATTAACACCATCTTTTCTTGATGATTCAATGCCTGTTATAACTCTCCATGAAGATCTACGAGAACCAACTACATTTTTATAAGCCACTGACAGTAAATTTCTTTCTTCGTTTTGGAGAGACCCACCCATTTCGGTGACTTTCTTCATGGCAGATGCCATATCTTCGTATCTTTCTGCTTGCTCAGCAAGCTTAGCACGAGCAATCAACTGAGCTCGATCTTCAAGCATTTTTATGTTGCAAATATGTCGTGTTAAAAATTTTTCTCAACACAGAAGACTTTTATTAATAATAAAACAACCTAAATCAACCTCTTGGTCACTAACGACAGCGAGGCGTATCGTTACTATAATAGTTCTATTTTTAAAAGCAATCCAAGTGGTCATTTTAATTTATAACTGCCCAATCAGCGCTTTAAATCTATCCGCAATAAATGTTCGTTTAGTAATTAAAATGAGTATTTCTTAAAAATGGACAACACCAAAAAACAAGAAGCTAATAAAAGTTTGCAATCTAAAATTATTGAGTTGTAAATTACTTATATCCGTTATATCTAAAACTTTTGACATCCGACGTCAAGCACTTTTTAAAGGTGATATGAAAAAACTTTACAGCAAATAAAGTATACAAATATAAAATTAATAAATTTTTAAAATATACATCATAAAATTAAAACTAACCTGAAATTTGCTGATTGCAAATTTCAGGTTAGTTTCACAAATATGCTAAACCCGTCAAATATTTCGAGAAAGCGTTATAAACAATTTTTAATTGCGAAAGTTTGTTTATTTTGTTCTATATACCAAAATAGAAATTATTCTACAAAATACCTTGAAGCTGTTAAAACAAACATTAAAAAGTATTGCTTCTATATATCATCTTCTTCTTTAGCATTGGTTTAGCTTTTTAGTTTAACCAATAGTAAATAATAAGATCTATTTAATAATAACCAATAGTAAGTAATAAATTTAGTTAAACAAGATAACGTTTTTTATTATACGGTTTTTATTAAACTTTCGAGTTTAAAGTTGTTTTTCAGGTATCAAGCTTTAGTTTTGTAAACAATTTTTTATTTTGGCAAAATTAAAACTTTATTTAAAAGAACATTTCAAAATACTTTTACATGTAAAAACGATTTAAATATTATTGTAATCGTAAACAGGGCCGGCGCGAGTTGGTGTCACGTGGGGGGGGGGGGGTGCCATTACAACTTTTGCCGACTAAAAAAAAAAAATAAAATAAAAATAAAAAAAAAAAAAAAGGTCCTCGTTTTCCAAAATTTGCTGATTGTCATGACGACATTTACCGACTATCTAACCTATATCGAAAGGGTCGACATTTGCCGACTGACTAGTCTAAACCGGTCCAATTTGCCGACTAAGGGTCCAGTTTGCCGACTAAAAATCATTAATTGGGGGGTGTCACACCCTCCACACACCCCTATCGCGCCGGCCTTGATCGTAAAATGTTTTAAATATTATTTGATTTTAAGTTATATTCATTATAAGTCTATCTTTATACAAGGCCGTAGACAATTTTTTTCGATGTTTGAGCTAAGAAACTTTGAAAACATAAAGAAAACTCCATATTTAAGTATGTTCATATCTATATGAGGAATAAGGATGCCATGCAGTAATTGGAGGCTGGGAACAACAAAACTTCCAAAACGTAACTCACTTCTCCCCCAGCCCCAAATAGGAGGGCAATAAGTCAAGTTTGTTTTTATTGTTATATTTTTTTTTTTCAATCTTAAACTTAATTTATATTCATTGACAAATTTCAAATTTGATTTAATAATCACTTGTTGTTCATGTTTTATGACCTTATAAAGTTTACACCCCCTCAAATTGAGGAGGTGAAAATTGTCGATGAGTATAAATTAAGTTTAAGAAATAAAAAAAATAACAAACTTGACTCATTGCCCTCCTATTTAGGGCTGGGGGGACTAAAGTTTTGAGGTTTTTGTTGTTCTCAGTCCCTAATCACCGCAATTTTTTGCATAGCATCCTCATTCCACATACATATGAACTTACTTAATATGGAGTTTTCTTCATGTTCCAAAGTTGCTTAGCTCAAATATCAAAAAAAGTTGTCTACGGCCTTGTTATAAAATCCTTTACTTTTTAAAACACGTTTTGTTTCATCAATTAAAATGGAATTCATAAAGTTTAACTTAGGGGTAATAAGTTATAAACAAAATATAAACAAAAAAATTTGTTATTAGTAAAAAAATAAATTATAAATAAAAGTATATAATCATGGCCGTAGATAACTGGTGACTTGGGGGATCAATACCCCTACACACACTTTTTTTTTTTTTTTTTGTTACGCCTCTATAAATATAATTTTAAACAATTTGAAAATATTTTTAAAAATTTCGTTTATTAAATGTCTTTAGAAAAATATTCCGCAATTAAACTGATGATAAAAGTAAAAATGCCGCAAATAATTATAAACGTTTCTAAGTAAACGGAACTCGCTGTAAAAAAATAATTAAAAGATTGATTTAAACTCGGGTTTATGAAAGACGATTTTCTTTTTAATTAATTAGTATCTTCCGTTTTTGTTACTTTGTTTCTTGGTTTATCTTGAGTTGTTTTAAACTTTGAAAAAATATTTTTTAGTCTTTTTTATAATTCTAGTAACATTACATATAAACATTTTTTATGATTTACTGAAGTGATATGTCTTTAAAACGGAAACTATCTGAAGCGCCTTAAACGACTAAAAGAAAGATTGAAAGGGGAAGATAAATATCGCACTTCTTTCTATGGAAGAACTGTTGTCTTATCAACTATTCTTAGCAATGCCTCTACTGTTAAGAACACATCTCTTGCTAGCCATGTAACTACCACTAGTACTCATTTTTATTAGATACTAATTCAACTTCTAGTGGTTTTGACTGTACTTTTACTAGTGCATCTCTTGCTGATCTTGTCACTACTGCTAATAATTTTTCTGTTAGATCTGCATCTGTTTTTGCTATAATGTTTTATAAAAATCTCATACTACCAGTTTTTGCATTTAATCTAGTGGATTTTTGCATTTAATCTAGTGGGTTTTTCATTTAATCTATCGATTTTTTGCATTTAATCTGGCGATTTTAAAATTTATATCAACTTTATAATGCATTTAATGAATTGCTTAAATTATTAGGAGAAATAAATATTCTACATACTCCAGTTAAAAATAGATTTAGATGTGTAATATATATATATATATATATATATATATATATATATATATATATATATATATATATATATATATATATATATATATATATATATATATATATATATATATATATATATATATATATATATACAGTATCGGACAAAACAAGTGCAACCAAATAATGCTAATTTAGTTTTTTTTTTATATAAAAGTGCTGCATTTTTTCAATTTAGAGAAATAACTATGTAACTGTTTAGAGACAACGTTCTTCAAGTTTTATTCATCACAAAGTTCATTATTTAAACACGAAAATTAATAAATTAATCAAAAGTATTTAAAAAAATTGATTTCCTTTTGAACAAAACAAGTGCAACTCCACAAAATGTTGACCAAACTGTATTTCGCTATCAATATTTCGTGGCGAATCCTTTGTTGTCAATCACAGCCTTGCATCTTTGAGGCATAGATTTGATCAGGTGATCAATGAAACTTTGTGGAATTGCTGCCCAAGCCTTTTGGATTTGTTCAAACAGTTGATCCTTATACGAACACCTTCACGATTAATTCTGTGGTTGACAATGTCCCACAATTTCACGATAGGGTTGAGATCCGGAGATTGAGGCGGCCAATCTATCACCGATAGGTGGTTGTCTTGAAACCACTGCTTGACTACTTTTGCAGTGTGTTTCGGATCGTTGTCTTGCTGAAAAACCCATTTTACTGGCATATTCCATTCAGCATGAGGTAACATAACATCTTTCAGGATATTTTTATACATGAAACGGTCTATTATTACATCGTTTCGATGTATTGAACCTAGACCGTTAGCAGAAAAACACCCCCAGACCATTACACCATGCTTCACGGACTTATGGCAGTAACGTAAATCGAGGCGTTTTCCGGCCGGTCGACGTACACGGCAAACGTCATTGCTCCCGATGATGTTGAACTTCGATTCATCACTGAACAAGACAGTTCGCAATTTCTGCACATTCCAGTCAATATGAGATGTTGCAAACAGATGTCTTTTCTCATGGTTCTTTAGTGAAATCAGCGGTTTCTTTGCACGGCGTCGAGAAAACAATCCGGCTTCAACAGCACGTCGTCTGATTGTTCGGTCCGATACAGGCAGCTCTAATTGCTTTTGTATCTCGACTGATGATATCCAGGGATCCTTCTTGACGGATCTGACAATCATAGAATCCTCTATAGAAGTGGTGGAATGCGGTCTTCCACCTTTGTTATTTGCTGCCAACTTCCCCGCAGAACGATATTTGGAATATAGTCTTGATATGGTCCATTTTTTCGCGCGATACTTATCACAAATACTTTTTTGTGACATTCCACTTACGTAATCACCAATAATTTTCTTTCTTAGTTCCAATCCAAGACTGTCGGAAGCCATTTTTGCACTTGAAGTCATAAAAATAAATAATCACGCTTCTGAAGGCTTACCGTGTTACATTTACCTTGTAATGATACAATAATGCTCTGTGAAACACAACACCTGGATACTTCCTTTAATTATTAAAAAACTTCCGTGACATTGATACGGACCAGGCTTAAAAAAATGAAACAAACCAAAAAAGTTGCACTTGTTTTACCCGCTGCAAAATGGCACTTTTTAGCATTGTTCGATGTTGGTTGCAAATGTTTTGTCCAATACTGTAATTATATATATATATATATATATATATATATATATATATATATATATATATATATATATATATATATATATATATATATATATTTTAATTTATTTATTTCGCCATATATAAGCATTTTACAATGTTCTCGTTTCCAAGTTTAATAAAATAAATCAAAATATAAAGAATAACAGGAGCAAGTAGAAGACATAAGTCTTGTCGTCAAGCCCCTACAATTTGCGTGATATATTTTCTACAAAGTATCCATAATATATAAAATATAATAATTTATATTCACTATATAAAGCAAGTTAAAATAACAATAACAAAATAAAATTTGCTAAATTAAATGAATAAAGTAAAGAAATTTAAAAGATTAGCTTTACACGTTTTTTCAACAAAAAAATAAATAATCATTTTATATAGCAAGTTAAAAATAGCTATACTATAATAAGACTTTTAAAGTAAAATATAGAAATAAAATATATATAATAATTATCTACATTTTTTTTTTGTGTCATTATCCCATTAT